ACTCCGAATTACCGAAATTGAAATGCGATCATCGCGCAGTGAAGTAACGTCAACAAACACACACGCGCGAACATAGAAACAATGATCGATAGATATTCGCAGAGCTCGCGTCATCTCGATCCAACATTCGTCACGAGCCGCTTCTGCGTATCGGCAAACGAGTATTTCAGCGTTATTAGGCGAAATTGTTGGCGAGATAGAGCCGAGTACGACGAGATCCGATGGATTTTGTCGAGGCGACGCGAGGAATACGGGCAATCGATTTGACAGGTAACGGAACGGCGATGGAGAAGAATAGCAGGTTATCTTCCGCGATGATGTCAGAGTTCCGATCGAACATCTCTACGACCAGACGCGGAGGAATATGTTTAAAGGAGAGAAGGAAAGTAGAACGGCGCTAAAACAAACGGTAGGAATTTGGATTAACGGTATGTCTAGGATTTGACAAGAACGAAGAGGTACACGGGAACGTGCGATAACTTTGTACGATGACTGACCGGAAATTTCAATAATCAGGTTAAACATGCCGCGATACCGATTCCCGGATCGAACTTTGCTATTTATTTGTTCGGTTGAGAGAGAAGGGAACTGTCCGTGCCTCGAAAGTTACTCCGCGAGTGCCTCCAAATTTGGAGTCCTTCGAGGCTGAGATCGCGAGGGAATAAATTATAGAATCCCTCTATGCATCCTCTATAGTCTATGAGGAAAAAATAGAACGCGAGATGGAGGATTTCACGGAACGACCGACTTCCGACTGACCTGATCGACGCGCAGATGATCCATACTCGGGTAGAACCCTGAGGAAGGTCTAACTTTCGGAATTAGAAAGTACCAGTTGCTTTGCTACGAATTATCGCGTGTTATATCACTCGGTAGTACTATTGGTCACTCGCGTGACTCGTTCAAGGCTACTCCAGGTTGGAACACATAGGAAAGCGTACGTACAGGCATCATTCGGCTGATCCTTCTCGATAATCCGCTGGTACGCGTAACAGGTATCCGGTGCATCATTGCTCGCGCCGTTCTCCTCGTTTGCAAACATCGCGAGTCACGATTTATTTTCCACGCGCCAATCGTTTAACCGTTTCCTAATTTCCCGTACTAATTGCACTTGGACTGCTCGGATGATCCTCGGTGTCCGCGATTTCACTTAAAAGCTCCGCGATCGTTGCCTGTCGGAGCAAAAGCTTTTAAAGTCGCGTCGGGTTAGTCGACTCGCGGCCTTCGATCCGATCTACCGATCTACAGCCTCTCTGTAAACCGGTACACTCTCGATCCTCTACACTGGGATCTTTATTTAAGGATAACTTCGGTCCATTGAGTGTCACCTCGTTTCACCAAACACGCGCGATTTTTAGATCCCCGATTTTACTTTTTATCCCAACTCTTTCGGACTCTGTCCAACTATCGTATAATTGTCAAAGCAATCGAGTCACCGTACCGTATTCGAGCTCTCGTGAACGACTCGAGATCGTCGTGGACGACAATGGAAACGATCTGGAAACGATCTGGAAACGTCAAGCGGCGCGTGGCGGATCAGCTGTTGAGCGGAAGGAAAGGCGAGCAGGCAGGCAAGCCACGAGGAGGAATCGCGGCGGCTGGCGGCAGGAAAAGCGAGCTACTGACCGGGTACACGCGGCGAGACCGCTGCGGACGATTCTTCGGCAACTCGAGCACGAGCACGGCCGAATACCGGTTCGTGCGGTTCCGTCCGCCACAGTGCTTCTTATAAGGTGAGATCCGAAGGTGTACCGATGCACTTCGCGGCCAGCACACTGCCATACGGCACACTGCCTACGCGAGTGCGCACCCACACGCGTTCGGATTACGGCTTCCAAACAATCGGCAGCGACCGGCCTAATCCTATTTCCCGAGACCAGTTTAATCCGCTGATAATCGCTTATCGCCTCGATGCAACAACACTCGGTCGCGCTCAACGTTTCTTCGATAGACGGTGAATCGCGCGGAATTGCATTCTTTCTGCCGATTTCCCGTTTCGGGGCTAACGCGCGCCGCGGAATCGGTGTGCCAAATGGAGTACGTACGACGTGGCTGAGTTTCGGCCAGAGTCGCGATGAACTCGGATGGCCGAAAGTAAACCGAAGGGGGGTTAAGCCCGATCGAGAAGGTAAACCCAGGTGAACTGCGTTTAATGCTGGAAACACCGATTCAGGCGTGCGTGTAAATATCGTACACGTAGATCGTAACGATGTAAACGCTGCATGTAATTACGTTCGCGCGTCGATAAATGTCCGCGTTGATTTTTCCATCAGTCACACCTACCGTAAGTGCCCCGGATATACGTATTAAAATTCGAAATGGAGCGAAGACGTCTTAAATTTCGAAATAATTTCTGCTCGGAATATCTCGCGTAAAATCAACTCTTAATTCTAATCCCACGTGTCTCGGATGTGTGCGCGCGTTCGCGGAGATACTGTATCATGGGAGATAAAGAACGCGGAAAAATTCGCGAATCGTTCTGTTATTTTTGAAGCTCCGTGAGTAGGTTACGTGCCTATAGGCGAAGGAAAAGTCTCGGGGCAATTATTTCGATTGCTTTGCTGCTTCCGCTATTAATCGTTCGGAGGCTCGATCATGCTCGAGACTCTGTAGCTTCGAAGCAATGGGTTTTCTCTGTCTCTGTGTGAAAATGCAATGCAACGGGAATGATTTACGAGCGAACGCGTTCCGATGAAGACGGTATCGGGGATTATGGAACCGGGGTATTTCTGACCGTGCTCGGTAAATCGAACGGAAGGGGGTCACCGGATTAAATATTCAAAGTGGCAATTAATTTTGAAGCGTTCGCGCTGAAATTCTTGCGCTATTTCAAACGGAAATCGTGCTAAGATCGCACGCGGTGCAATCCAAGTCTTACTACTTTCCCCGCTTAAGTGCTACTTGTTTTAGCAATTAAGAAAATTGGTTCCGCTACTACGCGGGATATGCTCTCAGAGGTTTCGTGCAGCAAGCAGATAAATGCTGTAAAGAATCGGATACTTATTCGTCCATTTAATAGCACTCGGTCATTCGGTATCCGATTTAACGAGGGGACCTTGCTACGTTTAAAACAGACACGTGTAATGGAAACGAGTGAACCAGAATCTGTAATTTTACTCGGAAGCGTGCATAAATAACTAGAATGGCGTTTGCATTCACCGTCTGAGTTTCGTGAGACGATAATTCGGCAAATTCGTAAGTTCGTAATTCGTAAATTCGAAAATTCGAAAATTCGAGAGCATATTTCTCGATCCATTTACCAGCAATGAATGGCACTGTGACGAGATTTCGCGTGTTCGCGTTAATCCTAATTCCAGTCACGACAATAGCACCGCGATAATTCGGAGAGAATCGTATGGCAAGCTAACAAAACAAGGGCAATAAAAATGTATTCTCCGTAGGTGATGAAAGAAACAAAAGAATAATTAGTAAAAAGCCACAACAAAGCAGTGTTTATTACATAATGATTACAATATGAACGGTATACAAAAGTTAACTAAAAATGAAAATACTCTAAAGGTTTCGTTACACTCGCAACGGTGTTGGTTGCGACGGGGCAAAAATTAATATGAAAGGTGTATTAATTAAAAATTAAATCGTATAAACGAGCGACGTTAGAAAAACCCAATATTCGTGTTATAAAAGGTAGATGTGTACAACTTGCTTGTCCTCCGACGATATTTCTTTCTCTGTCACGGCAATACTGGCAAACGTGATTATTTTCTCTTCTTCACTCTCTCTCTCTCTCTTTTCTCTTTCTTTTCTTGATTTTTGGAGAAGGTAATAATAATAACTGTGACTGAATCCTTTCTCAGCAAAAGATTTCACATTATCGAGAGTGGTGTCTGTTACTTCGGAGATGACATTTAAGATACATTTTACATCGCGTAAAACGGTATTTAAATTATTGCTAATCACTCGGGGTGTAGTTGCTCGATCGAAACGGACGTCAGCGTGTGGAAAAATAGTTAACTGTTCGGCATGCAGACGATCGGAGCTTTTGTTCAGGCAAATTTACATGCATTTTGTACGTGTATCTCGAGGTCGCGAAAGACCATATTCTATCGTACGTTGCCTTTGTGCGCCATCTGTCTCTTAAGTAACGTCCCGATATCTTAACTACAGGCTTTTCGAGATTTCAACATTTTTCGTATATACATTTGAGCAAACGTATCACAAAAATGTTACATTATATCACGAACGGTTTTTGATTCCAACGTATTGTCTCTATGCAGTGCTTATTCTAGAGTTAAGTACAAGACTTATAGTCAATTACTGTTATCACTAACATCGCTTCAAATGCATACACTTCTCGGGGATACATTTAGGAAGTACATCGAAAATATTTATATATACAAAAAAAAAAAAAAAAAAAAAAAAAAAAAAAAAAAAAAAAAAAAAAAAAAAAAAAAAAAAAGAAAAGAAAAAGAAAAAAAACTATCGTACCATGCTAATACTTATATCTCAGTCTTTGCAAATTACTTACAAAAGTATTTACGCTAGTTTAGCTCGATTGAACTTAAAAGTCTAGGCTTTAAAATCCGTCGGATTTTTCTGTCACCTGTCATCCTTGCAACGTACGATTTTGCAATCGTCTTTCAAGTAAACTCGATCGCTATAATAGCGAGTTTAAGAAAATTTAACGCAATTTCGATGCCCCACAAGCAGATTAACGTTCGAATACTGTTAAATATGCGTGAGAAATGCGAAGAATGCGTCATTCGAAAAATTGATTTCGTCCAAAGCATCGTTGAACACTTGTTCGATAAGAAGAAAGAAAATTCGTCGTGAAAAAATAGGAAAAAGGTACGAGGGACTTTTCTAGTCCCGCGTGTTCCCTTCATGGGATATTAAATCCGGTCGTCTTCGCGGTTAAGGGGGTAGAGTAAAAAATTAAGAGAGAAGCAAAAATACAAGTCCGCTGAGTGCAGTGACTAATACAGCGGCCATGTACGACAGCGAAATAGAAAATCGACGGTCAATTTGATTGTTGTACTCACCACGAACTTGTTTCACGTATTTTTCGCTTCGGAACGAATTGCTGACAGACTCCAGTAACGCGTGCAGACATCGCAGATTTTCTCTACACGCGCACTCGACTTCGGTCTACAACATAAAAATGTGCGTCAGTCTACGAATTCCGGTTCCGTTTCTTTTTAATTCCACTTACAAAGCATCATGCCACAGCAACATTCCGTGAAACCGAATCGGCTAGGTGTTAACTTTCGTACATCTATGTGCTAGCAGGAAAAGGGGAAAAAAGAGCAAGAATGCAAGCGGAAAATAATTTTTACCGTGTCAATACATTGCTCGAAATGCTTGAGACACGTGTGTATCGAGGCAATTGAAGTGCACGGTACATTTTGAAATAATTCCAGCAGATTTTCAACCATTTCGAGCAATCTACGTCCCATCACCGATGAAAATTTTAGTTAGGATTAATAATGGCGCTTCTCAAATCTGTCAATTACTCGTTATCGTTAATCATTCGACCTATATCTACCTTGGAAACGAGGTTGCGAGAAGATATCTTCTACTATAGCTAAATTAATAAACATCATATTTATAGTACTATAACTATACCTTGTGAATCGATGTCTGAATGATTCTCAGTGAACGTACTCTCGCAAAAGTCAACATGGAATTGCTCGCGGAGCAAGCCACGGATATAAACATCGGTCGAGTATTTGTCGCTGTGATTAATGGCGTATATATAGCAAAAGCGGAATAAGGATACACAGTAATAAACATGCAAGCGAGTGTTACTACGCACAACCATTTCTCCTTTTCATTCTCTTTTCTTTTCCTTTTCGTTTTCTCTTTTCCTTTACAGCGAATCGTGGTTATTTCGCGTTAAACGACACTTGCTATTTAATTGCTAATTTTATTAGGATTTCCTGCTCCAATATATTCTCGTAGTTCTCATATTCGTTGCACTATCAAATAGATTTTATTGTCAGGCGAAAATAATACATAATTTGCATTTCGAAATACTGTCAGACGAAAACCATTTATTTATACGTTTCAGTCGTACTTTTACGAAAATTCCCATTTTCTTTGCATATTTCAAAGCAATATACATACATCTATCATACACGTTGTATACGTACGTCAACTGTGCCGTTAGGAATTACTTACACATTATAATACGCAGGAGCAACAACGCTCAACGATAGTGCCTCGTGAAATGAAAGACTTAAAATAAAGGGTTTACAAGTCGGAAAACGTAAGAATCATTCAGGTATTGTTTCGATACGCAGTACTACAGCTGAAAACATTTGACATCCTAATGTATTACAAAAGCCTAGCACAAATGCGAACAGGCATCGCGACCTAATCCTATGCTTAACACCTAGAAGCGTAGGAAGCACACGAGAAAAGCAACAAAATCAATCGCATTTCTTGTAAATCCGCGACGTGGATAGCATCAAACCGAAGAGAAAGTATTTCATGCGTTCGCACATGCGTATGACGTTGAACTTTGTAATGACCTTGCGACAGAAGCACAGGAAGGATATTTTTACGCTCTTGATGAGTTTTCGGAGAAATCTGTATAGCTTTTGCACCACAAAACACGGAAGCAACACCTTTAATATCATACATACGCAATCTTCCGGCATCGTGCCGTTGTTCGACCTCGAGAACAAATTTTCTGCGAGCGTGAACTGAGCTTGCGACTTCTCCACTACGTTCCGGATATCTTCCACGTCACTGTCATCGCTGTCTTCCGTGGTATCGGTTACTTCCTGCAACAAATTGCCAATTTTTCTTAATTCCTTTCCCTCTCTTCCTTCACCTTTCCATCATTTTCGTTTTATTTTACACGATTCAAGGTTCATCCTCGTTTACATAGCTTTTACTTTAAGAATATCGTTAGTACAAATCGGGTATTAGGATTTATTAATTAGAAAGTGCAGTTGTTAACTTGTAAACGGTACAGGTTTTTCCAAAAATTTAACCGGAAGCGATTACTGGTTAAAAAATGTCGGAGCGAAAGCAGGGAAGCTAAGCGAACGCTTTCATCTGCTGTTTGCCAGTGGCACTCGAGACTCGTTTCAGTCAAGGTCGAATCTTTCGGAACATAGTTATCACAGTTATCTGGTTTATTGGGCAGAGATAACGAATTGATCCCGTTGTACATAGAGACGACCCTAGCGACACGTCGCGTGTACGATATAGAAGCTTGAATTAAATAAAACGAAGGCCTAATCTGATATTCGGAACGGTCTCTAAAACGATAGTCTTTAATAATTATACTAGGATAATATCGAACGTTAACGGGTTATTTATCGGGTGCTAATATGCTTGGAATACATTATTTCTGTACGTGAGAAGAGAGAGAAAAATATATTTGAAAAAGTATCGGAAAATTTATGAAAATTTATGAAAATTTATTCGGTACAAGTGTAATTCGCAGTAATTCGTATCGGACAATTTGTCTTTAAAATCATGCTCCAGATACCATCTGCGAGACATCTCTGGCAGCGACTGTATCTGTAATTACATCGTTTACCCTCGTTAAGATATCATCATCGCAGAGACGCGTTCGTCTGAAAGAAGCCTTGATAAGGCACGAAGAGATTGAAAGGAGAAATGTGGATGCGCGAATGAAAATTTCTTCCCGTGATAATACACGGTGTGGTATAGGGAATGGACGCTGGCTAGAAAGTGCTGTCCAATGCTCATTACGTTTGAATTACACTGCAGATGAAAAGAAAAGAAACTCGTGAATAATTTTACACGTCGGACGGGCGTATAGAAAAATTGAAAAATTGAAAAATTGAAAAATTGAAAAATGCGTGCGCTAGCGTATCTGGTGCAAGGTAATAATTCGGCGTGAGGTTGCGAGGTAGAAATGAATTTATTGCAAATATTAAATTGACTTCATGGTTGAACACATAAAACCAGACTCCCATTCGCCGCAGATGAATTACATTCATTCTACGGCAATACACACACGGTGTTCTTTTATTTCTTACTTCGTTCCGCTGTGTTTTCTTTTGTTTCATAAAACGAGATACTACAAGACAGGAAATAACTACAACTAAACTACGACACCGATATATACGTGCTTACTGTCAAATAATACTTCGAGACATTACCATCGAGAAATAAAACAGTAAATCATAGCGCGTAGAGGCAAGTTAATTAAGCTCACTGACAAATCAAACACTACAGGAACACTCGATGTGGATATAGTACAGACTATTATTCTATTCTTAATGCAGTAATACCAATGTCGATTTCGATTGTACAATTATTGATTCGTAAGTAATAACCATGTACCGAGGCATAATATGTACAAGGCAAATAATGCCAGTGTCACAGAAAGAATATTGACACTTGATCAAGAAAGAATAATAGAATGGAACGTACATGATGCATACGACTTCTAGGCAGTGGAGAACTAGCAGGTACTGCGCTCATACTGGAGGCACAATCGGACTGACTATCGAGGAAGTTTCGATAATCATCCCCAAAGTCCAATAATCTTCGTGCCGTTTCTACGTCTGGCGCTTCACTGTATGGCTCGCTCATATATTTCTCCTATTGAAAAGAGATCAATTTAAGAATAAATCACTGAATTATTCGCTCCGATTACGAGTATCGATACACCGCTCAAAATAATTAAAACGGTCTTTTCAAACACACGGAAAGCTACAAATTTGGACACCGTTACGTCGAGATCATAGCAAAATTCCGAGCAGTGCAGCAAATATTACTCGAAGCAGTGCTGCTGGTTCCCTTTGATCGCTGGATTACAGCGACACTACGAAATATATCTCGAAAAGGATCTCTTCGAACGAACAATACTCCCCTAACGCTAAAACACACCGTGGTCGCTTCTAATTCTAATTACTCTTTACTTGCGCTAACTTATATACAACGTGATCTCGTCAAGCAACAGCAAAAGGCCAACAAAAAATAAAAAAGAAACAGGAAAAATAAAATCAACGTCAAAATGGAAAAAGAAAAAAAAAAGAAAAAAAAAAAAGAACAGCGTTATTCCTGGTACGATGAGTCGAATCCAGTTACCTGATAATTATCCCAAGCCTGCTCGGAGAACGAGTTGTTCCCGAGACTGTTCATTTCGATGTCGCTATCGACGTTCAATTGCTGATTACACAGCTCCTTATTGCTTAACACGGTATCGAGCAGGTTGTCATCGTACGTGAAGCAGCCCCGTGTACAATTACGTTGCTCCTCGCCCTCTGTCTCGGACGTGGAAGCCACCGAAGTACAGCAGGGTAACCTGAACGGCGGTGTCGGATCGCTGACGATCGTCCTCTCCGCCGAGAGTTGCTGATGGGCCGTGCACCCGGAGAACGAGCCCGATTTCACCAGGGTAGTCAAACGACCGTGACAGTCTCTCGAAATGGTGCGCATCGTGCGACTTCCGCTCATCTTCCGTGGCGATCGTTGCTGATTCGACAAGCTGCCGTCACTTCCGGCGGAGTGGTTCGCGTTCACGCCTTCCGAGCTGGAGTCACTTTTACGACCCTGGGTAGACGGTGGCAGCGAAAAGAACGGAAAACGTGAGAAAATAATCGATTTCGAGGATTCACGCGAGTTTCCCCGATTATATTCCCAAGTGGCGCCCCATCTTACCAGGTTCTTCTTCCGCAATCGGCTCTTTTTCCTGCGCAGCGAACTGTTACGAACCACGCGGCCGTCGTGGCAGATGATCGACTCCTCCAGTAACGTGGACGTTGAGTTGTTGAACGATTTCCGTGATCCTCTGTAATTTAAAGCAGATGAAATGAAAATGTCTAGGATGCGACGAGGCAGCGAGATACCGGAACAACGTCGCGGTTGCTTTTCAACGCCATCCCCCCATTTGCATAAATTATACCTACTCCGGTCGCTCGAATCACGCGCCATTTTTCCACGTTGATTCGCCATTTTTCAGCAAAATGTTAAAAACGAAAAGATCCTTACTGAAACCTCGTCTGGGTTTCAGATCGACTTTCAAATCGATTTTTACCCCCCCATTGAAACGCGACTATATACGAGTTTTCGCGCGTGACAGCTTGGAGAACACGGTGGTTACGATAAAGAGGCAAGGTTAAAGTTAAGAGAAAAATATAATTATTTACTCACGTTGCATCGAGGGACACGGACTTGGTCGGCGGAGTAGCGATTAGCTGATGGAGCGCCGTTTCGCTGATGGAGAACTGCGAGATCGGGTCGTTGGTCTGATTCAAATTGGAATTGTTGCCGATCTGCGAGATGCAAGTGACGCTCCACGGCCTGGGTCCGTTGGTTTTCTGCTTCGGGCGCATCACGACTTTCGGCGTGCTCGTGTCCAGCATCGGATGCGCCTCGTTGATCGGCGTCTTGTCGGCGTCGTCGAAGATCTCTTGCGACACCGACTGAGACGTGCAGCCGAGTGCACCTTCGAATCGTCGATACGTCGCAACGCTGCTCTGCAGATCCTCCGATGAAACCGACTGCCTCTCCCCATCCGATTCTTCTGTCGTGTACTCGCCGCTGGCATCGCAGCTATCCAACGGCTGTAATTCGCGTTCATTACAATTGTTACGAAACGTTATAATTCCCTCTCAGACCTAGTTACAACTGGCGCGCATGATCAGACGACGGACGATTCGGTCACTCGGTCGTTTCGTATTCCCTCTGCGACTCTCGTTTCTCTTCTCGGCGAGCATTACACCTCCCGCCGCTCGTTTAGCTTTTCAATTTTCAGCCTCTACGTAACCGCGAATAAATACGGAAAAGAGGTATTTAAGAGAGAAATATCGCGAAACAAAGCAGCTTTTTAACTCACGGGTTAAGTAACTCACGGGTAACGAAGGAGTGAACGCGTGTTTCAAAAATCGTTTGGAAATAATCGTCAGTTTGCAAAAGGAACTTGGACAAGTCGCGTAAACAGTCTCATCGCATAGTACCAAGCCCCGAGGGTCCAATCGCGAGACATCGAGTTACGTTCTAAAAGAAACGACCTTGCCTTCGAATTAGCACGAAAATAACCTCGTGCCATCGAAGAAAGGTAGAAAGAGGAGAAATACAATGGCGTGTACGAGTGAAATCGAATCCTCGTCATCACCCAATGACAACGATTGCCACCACCTACCTGTGACGTCGATCGTCCCTCGTGGCTCCGAGCGGAGTTGAGTTTCAACCACTCCTTGATCCTCGCGTACTTGGCGCGATGATTATTCGATATACCCTTATCATCGAGAATCAGCTGCGGGAAGGTTTTGGACGCGCCGTTACGCCTTTCCTCCCCGACCAATTTCTCTACCTCCTTGATGAGCCTCTGGATGCTCGTCTTGTCGTTTCTCGTTTCGTCGTCACTGTCTTTCTCGCGGTGTGAAGACGCGTCGGTTTCGTTTGAAGTCTCGTCGACACCCTCCATATTGGACGTCTCTTTAACGGGCTTCATCTCGCTCGTTTTCGCGTTTCCCTCGTTGGGCCGCGATTCGCTCTGCCCCTCGCCAAAGTCCAGACGCACCACCACGTTCGTCTTGCGTTCCTCCGTCGTTACGTTGGTCGTCCGGGACGACGTGTACGTCCACTCCTCCTCGGACGAGTCCTCCGCCACGATCGCCGCCTCCTCGTTCTGCTCCGAGTCGGTGTCCAGGTGGCGGAAGTAGAAGGTCGCGCAATTCTTCGATTTCCTGTCGGACCTAATGCCAAACGACACGGATCAGTGACGCGAAATTTCTTGCTCCCTTTCGCGTGTTAGAAACGAGCGCGACCAGCGATCGATGGGGATGACTTTGTACGTATTCTCCGAGGGGAGAAGTACAAGTCGCGAGTATTCCGTTCGCGGGTTCCAATATTACGTATATTCGCGAATTTTCCGATTTTTTTTTCCTAACTTTACGACCCAATTTCCTTCTTTCCTCTTTTTTTTTTTCCCCTGTAACAGCGCGAATATAGAGCGTAATAAGGCGAATTCGTCGCGATCGTTTTCCAATAATATCGATATCCGTGTTCTCTCGGAGCACGGATGGCTCTTCAGATCGAGTGTCCCGCGAAGATAAGCTAGTTCTATTTCGCACGATCGATAGCGTGGCTTGCAACGGAACTCTCCGTTATCGTTTATCTGCGTTGGAAACGTCGGAGGACTCTATCCACGATAGCCGATATTTTCCAACGAAACGTTGTTCGGCAAAGCGCGAATGACGAGAGTTGCCGAGAACTCGCGAGTTATCGAGAAGAAAGGTAGAAACTGGCGGATGAAACGAAACGTGAGCGTGTATAGTAATTATTCCCTAGGAACGTGGCGGCGTACTCGTGCACGTCGATCAGCCGCACACGCCCACGTGATAAAGCGACGATAAGGCGGTCTTACGTGTTAAAAGAGGCGACCTCCTCAGTGGTTCTGCGACGTTTCGCTGGCTCGTTAGCGGCTAAATTCCCGTTGGACTGTTCAACGTTCCCGGGCTGACCGTCGATCTGATCGCAGCTCTCCACGATGGCCGTCGAATTTGTCATCGGTACTGTGTCAGGTGTCGGTGGCATGTCGTCCTCTTCGTCCTCGCTTAAAGCGCCTTCCTCGATGTCACCCTCTTCACCCTGGTCGCCTAACGTGTTCGCGATTCGATTAGCTTCTCGGGGATTTTCCGTTCCCTCGGACTTTCCGTCCATCACGTACAGCGGACATAATTCATCCTGAAATCAGACATCACGAGTCGTTCTCTCTCGTTTCTCCCGTCGTTTACAAGCACCGTCGATCGACCACCGGAATCACGAAATTCCATCGACGAGTTATAATCGGAACAGGCCGCCCTTATAATCGTCGCGGAGCCCTTATCCGAGCATTGACTGGTCAAGACGGACGTACCTAGGTTCGGCTGACGGTAAAAGAGTTATTCTTAGCGGGACGCCTTCGATTCTGGAGTGTTCGATACCGAAGAGAAGCATGATCGACCGCGCGTAAGCATCTCTCCGCCGCGACTGGTCGAGCGCGCGACGCGCGTGCAGATTATCGCGATAATTTTCCACGATAAGAAGTTAATTATCGATCAGCCCGCTAACTCGCGCACCAACACCACGGCACAGCTGTTCGATCTCGTCGAAATATATCGCCGCGAATAGAATTTTCCTATCCACGCGTAACTTTCGCGGGGAACCGTTGCGACATTTTCTTCCCGATTTCTCAATCCTGCCAACGATTTTCTCGCAGATAACCAAACCAAGCAGCGTAGGTGCCCCGTTCGAATTGCATTCTTTCTTCGACCTAGATCGAACCCTCGCGTATTTTGCATGTTATCCGCTTTTTGCCGCGTGCCAGTAAACGCGCAAACGCGATTAATCACGGCGAGTAAATCGAGACGGTTCTACCGGTATCCGCTCGAAACGAGAAAGGAAAGCTTCGATGCTTTGGCCGAATTTCGAACAGCGGAAGATTAATTACGAGTTTAATTTTATATTCCCTGAAAAGAAGAGGTTTGGCCAAATTCGGATAGGAAATGGTAACTCGTAAAGAGGAAGAAAGGGGAAGAAAAAGGAGGAGAAAAATAGGAAAATGAAAAAAGAAAATAAATGAAAATAAAACGTGTTCGTGGTCGAGGAGGCGCGTGTGCGATTCGCTTTATAACGGCGGCACGCCGGCGTGTATACGTGGCTCGTTTCGCGGCAGATTTCTTTCCACTTAACACACCGAGTGTCGGTATGCGAACGCCATTCCGGTCATTATTATTTGTTGCTCGACAAAACGGATTCTCTCTCGTGCTCCATAAAATCGAGCCGTGATGCAACCGTGAAAATTTCACGCTCCAAAGTGTTTCGCGTTACCTCGACACGATCGCTGTATACAACACGCTTTCGTTCGCCGATTGCATTCGTACACGGCAAAAGGGCAAAAACGGTGCCGATCGATCGAGAAAAGCAAGAAGCGAGCCGACGCCATTAGGATTTCAGGTTACAGTTGTTCTCACTCCGGCGAGCTCCTCGCGAGGTGGCTATGAAAATAAAATAGGTAATCCACTAAAATAGGTTAACTCACTTGCTCTCCATATTTATCCCTCTCCTCCTTTTTCCTCGCTATTTTACAGGTAAACATATAGAAGAAACTCGAGTCGGTTTCGATGGTGGACTGGTAGTAGCAGGGCACCGATAGAAGTGGCGTCGTTATCAGATAAAAAGAACGGTAGGTGCGGAAGAACGCGAAAGTACTCGTGAATGATAACTCTCTTCCGAGAAACTCGAGTTTTCCTTTCTTTCAAAGCATTTCCCAACTCGAAGAAAAACGAAATTTCGAATTTTACGTATCGCCGTCGAAAATTCAATTTTCCAACGACAGAGGCCCATGATTGGGCCTGAAACGTACCGGGAGTCACGGTTAAACGCGAGAAAAATTCGATTCTCACGAGTTACACGGGGAAAAGAGAGATGGCCGAAGCGAACAGTTTCAAAGAAGATAAAAATACGAGAATTGGGAAACCGGAGAGAAGAGAGAGAATCGGAAAATGCGGAACAAGATGTAGCACCCGGGATGGAAGAGGCTCGTGCGACCACGAAGAATGGAAACGGACGGTGTAACGCGACGGAATAATGGAACGGTAATAAGGCTGATTCGAAAGACGACGCCGAGAAACTGGTTTCTTTGGCGTAGGATACGCAACGACGCTTCGAACGGAAGAGAAGAAAATACGTATTCGTTTGTGACTGTTGATGCAACGCAAGCACGTTCCTCGACGTCACGTACGCGTAATTACGCGTCAATTTCAATTTTTATTTTATTTCGTCCGGTGAATATTTCAGAAGGTAAAAGGCCCCGGTGTGTGCACTTTCTCCCGTCGAGTTCTCATTCTGCTCGAGCAGTGCAGCGCGCGCGCGTTCGGAAACGAGAAGTATTTTTCGAGCTTTCTCGATGAGAAAAACGGCCGAGGGGAAGAAAAGGGAAGAGAGAGACCGAGAAAGAGAGAGAGAGAGAGAGAGAAAGGAGAAAAAAAGGGATAACGGAGAGAAAAAGAAATACCGTTCTTCCTCCGGTGCCATCGGCTAACCTCTCGGGCTCCGTTCGAGTCCAGGGACTCCGACAACGAAGAGAGGACGACGATGATTCCGTGTCACGAGATCCTGTCGATCAGCCGTGGTCCGGTTACCAGAAGCGGCACCAGAACGATAAATCCTCGCGCGGGTTCGACGCGTTTCGATTTGACTGGAGCGTTAATTAATGTGCTCGAAAATGAAAAGTTCGACGTCGTAAATCAATTTCACCGAGCAACAAAGAGATGGAACGAAAGGAACGCCGCCGAACGCGTTCCACTCCGCGCGCTAAAGTGTTGCCAGGCGTACAAAAAACTTGTTCCAACTGCTATCGAGAAAATGGAGGAATATAATTACCGGTGAGAAAGAAAGAGAAAAAGAAAAAAGAAAAAAAAAAAAAAAAAAACGCGCGCCGAATTTATATAGGCGAGATTTCGCGATTCCGAGCTGAGACTAGGGCGTACGTAATAATAAACGAATGGGGGTCGGGGGCGGGGGGAGAAGGTATGGAAAATAGCCTATTCGAATATTCGTCGCTCGACGTTCAACGAAGGCCCGCGATATAATTGTTACGCCGAAGCGATTAGAAAATTCACCGTCCGATCGTTTAACACTTTCCGTCGTTAACTTCTTCTTCTCGGTACCGACGATCTCTTCTTTTCTTTTTCAGCGCTGTGTACCCGCGTCCGAGCACGAGGTATGGATTATACACGGCGAGTTAACGACTGCGAAGGGAATAAGAACGAGCAGAAAGCATCGGTAAGTAATACAATGGTAAATTTCTTCCACCGAAGACCGCGCGTGCAACAGATGCAACAAAGAGCGCGGAAAAATTGTAATTCCCAATTAGAAAAGCGCGATCTCGACCGAAGTACGATTAATTCGTTCGCAACGTCCAGAACCGACCTCGTAAATCAATTTCACCTACCAACAAAGCGATGCAACGAAAGAAACGCCGTGGAAACGCTCGCGTTCCGCGCCACGCACCGTAATCACCTTATCGTAGACCGCGGACGGTAGATCATTCGCACTGGTAACGCACGTGCGACGAATAACGTTACACTGCGTACGCTCGATGCACCCGTGAGAGATCGTGTCATCGACACACCGGACAGCACAGCAGCACGTCCACGCGTTTTTCACGCCAACTTTCTTTCCCCGGCGTGGCGGAAATCGAAACGCGAAGAAAATCTCGAGGAGCGATAGGGGCTTGTGTGTGCTCGAGGCAAAGGCAGCGGAGGGACAGTGATCGCTTGGGTTCTCGGAACGAGACAATGGCCGCTAATAAGGATCAGGCTCATCTCCATACTCAGGTATCCGCTCGTGGGTCTGCTGGACGGTTTACGTCGGAGGGATGCTCTATAGTTTCTGACTGCGAATTTTCAGCCGTCCAGAGCGTTTGTTAGAAAGCGACTGGGAAGAAGGAATAATGGTTCGTGGAAAACGAAAGTCGATATAGCCGTGTTGCACCGGTACGAATGAAATTAACGTGTTCCTCGAGTGCGAGGCAATTAGAGTTACACATTACTAGAGAACTCTCCGTTTTACTCCCAGTCGCTTCTCTCCCAGCGTTTTCGGCGTTCCGGAATTGCCGGGGTGCGTTTCCGCTTGCGAAGGAAAACGTGTTTCGAAATTTCGTTCGCGAACATAGGCACGAACGCATGCACGAGGTACGCGATACCGTTTCCTCGATCCAGGAACGAAACAATGGCCGTTGGCTAATAAGGATCAGGTTCACTTGCACAGCCAGGTGTCGCGTCCATCCTCGAATAACCGCACCGCAACGTTTCCCAAATCGACGCACTCGTTTCGCGGGTAAAGTTGCTATTATACTCGTTGGCCGGGGAAAATTCACCGGGTCCCCGGTGTCCGTTGGCACTGAAACAACGATGGCACAAAGCACCACTATTTCGCCCACGAATCCAACTTTCTCGAGCCCGGAGAGCAACGCTGATCGACTGCTCGCCAGTCGGGGATTCACCGCTAATCCACGAATCCGTCTTCGTTAACGGATCCACACGGCGGATACGAGCACACGCGTGTACACACAGAGACACTATGGATCGTGAATCGAACAGTCACCGCGCGTTAATCAAGCAAACTTCCTCCCGGCGACGCGTGCTTCCATTGTTCCTCGGGAACAGTTTGGGAAACGTTGCCATACCGGTTTCACGACTCCTCCGCGTCGCGTGCTCGCCACCAGCTAGTACAGCCTTACAGCCGTGTGTCCTCACTGTAGCAAGAGAAGCAGATGACCGGGTAAACCTCGCTTTCGGTATACGTACCTCGAAGTAGGATCCATCGCCGATCGATCGAATCTCGGAAGACGCGTCGGTGTCGGACAGGTCCGCTCTGCTCGTGGCTGAATCCTCGTAGTATCGCGATCTCGTGGCTCTGTGGCGTTTCGAGCGCGTCGAACGTACCGACTGACCCGGGGATTCCCTTCCAGAACCCCGCGAGTGTCTGCGGCTCAGTCGAGGCTGCTTCGTGACTGGCTCCTCGTCGCTGTCGCTACTGCAGCGGTAAGGCACCAAGTTCTGAAACACCGAACAGCCGAATCGCTTCATCTGATAATCTCGCACGCCGCCACGCCTGTCGCGGACCAGTTTCTGATCCTATCGAAACCGGCTAGGTAAATCGGTTTGCCCCGACGCACGTGTTCGTGCATCTCTCCTTTGTCGGACTCCGACGATGCACCGCTTTCAATCAGTCCCGGGATAATTTAACCCCCCAATTTTTATTTTTACCTTTTCCGTTCCCTGCTTCGATCTCGACGTGGTGGACGATGCCTCGCGAAAGTACTCCACAGACCGCGATCGCGGCTTGAAATTTCGTCGACGAATCGGATACGTTGTTGCGCTCTCTGGAAATTCCGATATCGCGTCCCTGGTAGGATTCGACGATACGCGAGGAATTCGTGATACGAACGGGAATTTTTCCAGTACGCTTATGAAAGAGTATATGAAGCGTGTGAATTATATTCATATTAATCATTTACTTTTAATTTTCTCTCTATTTTATTGCTTTCTCTTCTTGCGTTTTCCAAAGAAACTTCAGAAGTATTCTATGCGCGATATTCGCGCTGGAAAATACGAAAGGAATACTGCTTTCTATAAGATTTGAAGTAATTCTTCCCCTAAATCCTCGACAGGGATAGAAGTCGATTAAAAAATGCCACTTTAACGTTCTTACCGCGTTAATCTCGCTGCGCGAGGAGAAAAAGGTGGACGTATTAAAGGCGCAAACACGAAGGAAAATTGGTTCGCGTTTCGGTAGGAGCAATTTCTAGTCGAGGAGCGTCGAGACGCGTTCGTGAAACGAAATTGTGAAGGCAGGGAACTGGGCGCGGCAAAAATTAGTCGCGTGTCCACGAAGCTTGGAACAATTTTTCCACCATTTTATCCCTATTCTCGATTCGACTAATTTTACTCTGGCGCCCATCCAACTCCACTTTTCCGCGAATTCTTGCAAAGAATCGTCGTTTCTATCGCCTCGTCGAAAAATCCTCCAACGTCGACGCCAATTAAAAAAAAAAAAAAAAAAGAACAAGAAAAAAGAAAAAAAAAAAGAGGAAAAAATCGAAAAAAGAGTAGAAAATAAATTCTTTAGAGCAACTGGAACAAATTCCACGGCGATCTCTAGAATGCCTTCCATAAATTCTCCTCGATATTAAACCGTCGATATCTCGAAGAATCTTTAGAAATCCATACAGAGCTATTAAATCGAGAACGAAAGTGAAAATCGTGAGTCATAATAACCAGCTTCGATTATTAGTTTTCTTCTCTAGAGCACAAAGACTGCAAATTATTGCCAGTGCGATCCTCGCTATCGAGAGCACATCGAGATCGACCGTTATCTTCACGGTCGGAGATCCATTGGAACGACCAAAAGCCAATCGACGACATGGCCACGAGGCAAAACGCAACGGAAAACGTTCCACGGTCGCGGACCGAGACCAACGCGTGTGCACGGACCGACGAATAAATGCAAGATTAATGGCCGATTTCACCGTGCTTCGACTAAATTTAGAAACCCGCGATTTACGCGATTAACCGACGAAGAATCGAGATATTGTTGTCGCGTCGATCAAACGCGCGCGCTAATCGACGGCGCGCGCCGATTTCCAATTGCGCGTGCGCCGCGCGACCCGCGTGGCGCGCTAATTGCCACGAGTTCGAAGGACCGTTGCCTCGCGAAACGTGTAATTCGTTTCTCGTTAACGACTTTAACCACGAATCCGGCAGATATATCGCGAGTCGCTTCTCGCGTTCCACGGCACGAGGAAGTGTCCAGTTTCTTTTCTATTTTCGAAATGATCCAGTGGTACAGATATCGCGGGTACACGATGAGAAGCAACAATTTGTGTACCTTAATGCATCGGTAAACGCAGAGAGATAATCTATGGAGCTCGATCGATAAGGGAAATAAATGCAAGTGCCGATAAGATCTTGCTCGTTCCGCTTCCGACGCGAGGCGTGATAAATCTGTTTTAATTCGAAACTTTTATTACTTCGACGTATCGTTTCTATTACTTGCGCGCGCGCGTTCTATCGATGCGTATGCAATTCGCGATCATGGCGATATCTCTTTCCGCGAAATTAACATCTCTTCGGCGTACCTTCGTCTCGAACTTCGATAAGATTATCCGGAGTAACGCAAAGAATTACGAGATATTTCTCGTAGGCACGAAGAAAGTGGTTCTATACGTGGATCGCGGAGGTATTACGAGAACGATCGCTCCTCGCGAGTTGATCTTCTTAAGGGGTTAATCTAATCGCTGGTCAAAGTCGGGTGAAAGGCGTAACAGGGAACGATCGCGATAGTAATCGTTACATCTTGCTCGGATCGCCGTTAAACGGAGCCGTGGCTTACGAAAGACCATGCAATTTTCATTTATTAACTTTCTACGATCTAGATAATGAAATTGTCTCGTGCGAATTTCACGGTGAGCGAGAGAAAAATAGTTCTCTCGTGTCAATAGCGGCGAGCTGTATCCTTTTTACTCGAGAATAAAATTCCAACCGAAACGGTGCTGCGTTTAATCGAAAGCCTTAAAGCGAATACCAACGAACGATTTCTGACATTTTCAATGTTAATAGCTCGGTAGATTCCATTTCTCTTAACAGATAAGAGTCTAGTAGATCTAATCTCTGGTAAGGATAAGCGTACAAAGCAAGCAGCATTTTTCCGATTTCTTTCCCGTTCGGTTGCTAGAGAAGCGAGCAAACTAGACAGTTTAGATAGACAAACTAACCTACGATAGTTTCGATCGAACTAAACGATAAGCAGAAGCACAATACCGACGATAAAATCTGAATTTTGCGATATTTCGACTGCGCGTGGAACAGAGTACACGATCGAAGAAATATTAGAAACACGTCGATTCGACGGAGAAATTCTTTTCTCTTTTTTCGATGGCTCTTTAGATAACTCCCCGGATAATTTCGCGCAGGGTATAAATAATTAATAATGAAACTTACCGGCTGCGAGTAATTCGTCGAATTCCTGGCGGAATGCTCAGGGTTCGCGCGCGTTTTCGATTTCCTCGATCGAAAATGTAACCTAACGAGACGAAATACCGACACACCGGGAGGAAAAGATGAAAGCTCGGGATGCTTTCCAAGGATACCGCGACGGAACAAAACACGGGCGAAAGCAAATTCGCGTCTCTCGGCCGCCATATTACCGGAACTTGGCGGAACGTTCGACCGGAATCACGAGCTCGCTGCGCGTTCCTCGGAGCCTACTAGAAACCGCAATATAAAAATAAGCGAAAAAGCTGGCCTGTGCAGAAGAGAAAGCCAAGAATACACGCGTCTCGCTCGTACAATTCCGTAACAAAGGCCGAGAAAAGCCATAACCGTTAATCAACGACCGCTAGAGCTCGAGACTTTTGGGCAACCGGCAATTCCGCCTCGATACCTGTGACCCCCTTCCACAGTTTACGTTACCCTTGCTTTTCCCCTAACTGTTCTCCAACATGTGATACGAAACTTTAAAAAGGACCAAAGGAAATTCGCCATAAAAATTTCTCGTGTTTATTACCCGCACCCGAGGTTACGAGAAGATATCTAGATCCCTGGATAACTACGGATGGAAAGTTTTGGGAACCTTGCGAATCGATTCTCGACATTTTCGAAATATTACAGCCGAATTCGGGAACGCTGAATACGCGTGAAAAATTTGTAATTTCAAATATTTCGTTGCTCGATCCTACGAGCATGCACGTGTCATAAAAATGGAGGTTAATGGAATCCCGCTTAACCGTTTCACGTGAAGCGTGACGAATTTTTTTCGCGCCTCGACGTGTTACCCTTGTTCCTCGTCTGTCTAGCTGCAATGCACGCTTGGAAATATCCGAGAAATTTATCACAGGAACCCGACTCTTCCGACACACGGTCTGCGCGACTGCAACACGATTCCTTGATCGTTCTCGGGCAATTTCACTCGAATTCCGACGAGTTCCTTAGAAACTGACCTTACCTTCGCCTGGATTACAGCTATTCGCAAAAACGCACGCTCCGCGGGAATTTCGCAAACGTATTATCGAGACCTGACCTTCGAGAGACCTGAATCTCGACCACGTCGAATTCGCTCGAATTCCAATCACTTCCGTCGAACCTGACCTAACTCTCGCTTCTCCGAGCGTCGGCGCAAAGGCAACGCGCGCGTATTCCGAAAGCAAAAGAACGAGAAATTTATTCACCAACAGTCACCGTCACGTAAATCTTCCGATAGAGCCTGGGGCCTCCTTCTTCATCCTCCGCGACCGATTCGCAATTCCGATCGAACCAATCCAATTCCTGACCTTACTCTCACTTCACCGACCGGTCGTACGAAAGCAACGAGCACTGCAGAGAGCACGGCGAACAGCCATCACTGCGAAATAACGCGGCGGGAAAGCTCGGAGGGCCAGAATTCGAAATATGTGACGAAAAATCGAGCTGAGAATAGTCCACGCACTTACGCAATTCCCTCGCCTTCGAGTTTCTCGGAATCGAGAGTCGTTTGCAACCGACTGGCCGGCTGCGCCCGTAAATACGTAATAAAGTTCAGCGGGATCAGCGGGCCAGAACGGCCGATTCAAAGGTGTTGTTGTTCGCGAGGAAAAGTAAATCACTCACTCTCATGTCGGCTGGTCACGCTTTTGGATACCGAGCGGTTATGGCCGCGGATCGATTATGGCTGCAGCTACGAAGATGCTCGAACTCGGAGAGGACCACCTCGCTGACGCGTGCTCCGTGGAAGACTGACACGGATACCGGGTCGATCGACGATCGTAGCCTGGCCGGCGACCTGTTGATACCGGCTACCTGAACGCGTTTCGAGGCCGGACTACCTGACCGTAACTCGGACGTAATAAAAGCTCCCGGTCCGACGAGTAACCACCTGCGAGACCACGAAGCCGAGGAGAGCAGCTAAGGCGAGATTAAAGGGCCTCAAGGAATTTTTCTTTATGACGGAAATCTTCCTTTTTGTTACCTCTTATTAGGCAGTCGGCAGAAAGGGGGTAATTGGGTTTCTGGAGCGTATGGTT